AAACGCGGTTGTTGGCAGACGCGCACACATCCAAAAATGAGACGCGAGATTGATTTCCGGTGGTACCCGTCGTCTCTTGCCGCTCATTCATCAACGGTGGCATAATTTCACTCAATCGCTTAACAGAAGCGTACACATTTTCCGGTCAACTGGCGCCGCCTTCGCGCGACTACTTCCAGGAGACCACTTGACTGAAGGCGAGTTCGCGGCACTCACCAATCCGTCAGCCGTCAACAACAAACTCATTACTTGACCAGTGAAAGTTACGCCCCGGGGACGGGTGACAATTATCCGAAACGCTTGACTAGCCGACCAGCCGACGACGAGCTGGTATATCACCCCGGCACATCCTGACGCAAGCGAGCGGTCGCCAACTGGAACTAGCAACCGTCCAGACGGATAACGCTGACCGCTGGTCGGTGAGGTGCGGAATCGATGCACAACGCGAACAATACCGTCGACGACTGTCGCCGTCGCCGTCACCGTCACCGACCGGTGGTTACTACCTACAACGCGGGTCACGAACGATCATTATCCCTGTTACGTAATCGCTTCAGCAAAATCATAAGTCATGGAAATCACCGACCCGAAGGTAACTACAACAGAAAGACAAGGCGATGATGTAGGTCTGTAGTGTTTTCGGGCAAAGCCGACGATTCAGGATTACAAATTCGATTTTAATGTACATACCAGATAAAGCGAGTAGAAAGTACAGATACAAATGAATGAACAGACAGAAGAAACAAACAGTTGACTCAAACAAAGTGGAGGGCAGAACAGTGGAAAACCTTAAGCTAGCTTCACACGGTTAAACAATACCTTCAAACAGTTAGTTTACCGCCGACGAGGAAGGGTAAGTGATAAAAAAATCGTGATCCTAAATTAAATACTGAGTTGAGGACGCTGAGAAGACGGTCGCACGTTAGACTGAAAAATAAAAGCTTCGGAGGGCGCGGCGTGAAACCAGGTATAAGTCACGACCGGAAGAAGGTTGTGAGGAAACTAGCGTGCGGCAACCTTCTGTGCAAGTGCAACTGTGACACTTTAACCGCTTAATGACGCGTAAGAACACCTGCCCGATAGAAGTGTACAGCAACGCTGTTCTTTACCTGCAGGTAACGTCATCTGGCGGTTTGCAGTGACGGTCAGCAGCAGCAGACAGAACAGAACCGAACTCAGCCACAGCCATCTTTCGTTGAGGGCCGTTGAGTCCATCGCCGCAAAACAACCAACGACGACGGATGGCACGACCAAAGAGCAAGTCGATGGAACGTTGTCCAGTCAATCGTGGTCGGTCGGACGTTGATGCGGTTCACGTCGTGCAGCAACGACGACCACACGGCGAAGGACGACGGCCAACGAACAAACGCAAATGCAGCCGATGTTCAAAAATGAACACTGATCACAACCGCACAGGGACAATGAGGTAGTGGTGTGCTCGGCAAAGGGAACGTGCGTGGACTGGCACACTTGTTGCAACTCGATCGACCACCGTTCTCGGAGTTGAGAGACGGCAAGATGCGACCGGCTACCAGCAGAACGGAGACGTGGTGACGTCGTCGTCAGGCGTTCGCTGATTGGTTACCGTAGCTGTGGTGCATTAGTGTATTGGTGACCACTACTCGAATGCTAATGAACGATCAGTAACAATAAGGGGGCGGTGTACGCGGCGTCGGGCCATCGCAGCAGCAGTAACAATCCGCCGCAGACATTGGTCACTGGGTCATGACGAAACGCAGAGCGGTACATGTCAAAAGCCCAGCAGGAGACTGGCTTTCCTTTAGCGTAGACCGTCCAGCATCCGCAGCGATACTAACTGCGGGAGTATTTCTGACCTAGACCGTTCCAGAGGAAGAAAGTTTCAAGTCAGCTTCGCTCCGGCTAGTCTGTAACAACCGCACTGTAGCATGTGCAACCTTTCTCGTCGAAGGGAACGCGGTGCATACTGTGCACTTCTTTTGTTATTGATCGAAAGAAAAAAAGCTATCCAATCGTTCGTCAGTCAAGCGCACAGGTAGATTAGCAAGTTCAGATAAACCGAACTGAGGGTCAGTCAGCAAAACTTATACTGGAAGAAGAAAATCTAGATGTCGCTGTCATTCCGTCGGTTCGCCATCAATGCAAACTGCTTAGGACACTTCTAAAGAAAAATTGGGGACTGAACGATTGATTGCCATCCAGTCAAACAGCAACCTACATTCTTTAGCAACGCTCCAACTGCATGGCTCCGAGCCCATGCGTATGTGTATGACCCTGATTAAAAACCGGCTGCTTAGCAGGCGCATCTCTTCCTTCTCCATGCGTTTAATGGAAAAAGGATAACGGAGCTTTGATAACCAACCGAACAACACTAACGATGCTGAGCTGTGCTACAACCGAATGTTCGCATATCTGAGGCCGGAATTCTTACTATGCCAGGTTGAACGCGAGATTATGAAAGAGGAAGCTTTAGCCAATACGTCAGTGCACCACTGTTGCACACTGGCGCATTACTTCTCCAAGACAAGGTCTCAAAACGGACTGCGTCGCCCTTTCGCTCCTAGTTGTCTGAGAGTCGAATGTTCTAGGTGGAAAGCTGGGCTTTGCAGAATTCCAACGCTCCAATGATACTGCAATGAACAGATTCCAGCGTACGTGCCTACATGTCACAAATCACACGCACTACATGCCACCTGGTGTACCTCTGTCGCGGCGGTCACCTTCACCGCCGGCTGCCCACAACGCTTGTCCTTAGCTCGGTGATGCCAAAGAAGCACACCGCGGTTTTCTGCACGTCCGAATTACATGCATTTGTTCGGTAATTGTGTTTATTAATTTATGGAGCCATTTCATTGCAGCCGTTCGGAGCCTTCAATGGGGCCCGAACAGTGGGGAACGCAACGAACCATCTCGCTAATTGCTAGTTTCGTCTCGGTGAATGTCGCTGACTTCTTTGAGGTGTCAAGTGAATGGCGCTAAGCGTTAATAAAGCAGGTGGTGGCATTGTCAAGCGTCCGTTTCACGGTCATTGTCAATACGCTGGAAAACAAGCACTGCGCGATTGTGGCAGGAATTCAACGAGCGATCGTTTGACCTGTGACCCGTTGGTTGAATCCGAATCCGCTTATTTTGCGTGATTTACAGCCGCGAGTTATAATCGCTCGAGTTTGACCACGAATGAGTGTAACTGTAACGTGTAATTATAGGACTGACGCGCGACTGCGTCTGCGCAGCGGGAGACGTCCATCTTCCTACCATCGGAACATGCCCTTACACGGAAGTGAAGCAAAGCGCAGAGGCATCACCGCCCAGGCCGCCATGTAGGCACTGTTGTACGGTTCTTCGAAACACCAGGCACCTCCATATATCACAGTCAGACTTTCGAGTGCTGCAGACCTCTCAAAGGTTGTCAGAAATAGCTGCGTTGCATCAACCGATACGGTTTCGCCGGACTGTATGTCTCGAAGGGCGGATTCACAGACATCGACGACATCATGCGATCTAATGAACTACTACGTTCGTCAAAATGAGGATCCATGCGTATGTTACTGTGGCGTGGTGGCACAGTGCCTAAGAGGTCGGCTTTGAACTCTGGAGGTGGCGGGTTCGAATTTGCCCAAGGGACAATCTTTGTTTTACAACCCTCAATTTTCTTGAGCAAGGAAGTGATCCAACGATGCATCGGCGCAACCAGAGAAGAAACGGATAGTAAGTTGCGTGACTTACGAATAAGAGGGACAGCAAGGCATTCTGTTTAAGTTAGGCCAAAATGGACCAGGTGCACGGCCATGCTGTAAGATGAAAGCGCACCTTACGAGCACTTCACCTTGACCTATCTGACCGCTAACAATTTAAGGTAATAACCAGCACCAGGTACAACTCCGATTTCGATTTTCTTGTCCTAAAACTACAAAACACTTTGTTCAGCCAATTGCTTTTTTGCCCAGATAAACGCAAGTCCTTTCCTGCCCCTCTTCAGTGGTGACGCTAGACATTACACCACAAATAACACCTATTGAATATCCGTCCTTCACTCAACACGTGAACAGAAGCCATGTAAGAAATTAGGAGCGATTTCATTTTAGCCTTGTAGAAGGTCTTCACCGCATGAATGAGTCGAGAACGATCTACTTGTAGGCCCAAGGACACATCCTGTGTTGATGTTAGACGCTCCCAGTTATGACAATGACACTACTCGGTGCGAACACAGTCAGTGGTGTTGTATTAGACCAAGATGGAGGTCGCACGGATGCTTTCTAGAGGGTTGCCAGAAAGTCTCGGGAAAAAAATAAAATTTTGACGAAAGTTTTACTCTATATTTTGCCTGAATAAAAGGATGTTAAAATTCATTGTTTTAGTAGTTTTAATTAATCAGCAAGGATAATCTGATAAAAACATGGAAACAAAGTTCGCAACTGCGGAATATCGGTTTTTCTTACACTTTCATAACTGGCCATTTTTGGCACTCTTCTTTACACGAAGTTAATGCTTGGGCGCTGACCTCCATTTCCATGCCATCAATCAGGAGTGCTTTATAATAAAGGCAGGGCGAGCAGCATCTGTGGCAAGCCTACTTGTAGTCTTCTGTTTTCCTCCCACAGAGTGATACGCATTTATTGTCTATACATCGGAAGGAAAAAATACGAATGACCTGTTCGGGGCTGGAACCACAGGCGTCTGAGTTCGACGCACTACCGACTGACCAACCCCGTCTAATGACCACTAGGTATACATCAAAATAATCATCAATTAAAATATACATCTACAAAACTCAACATATATAGATCTTATGCATCGTCAAGTCAGGAAGATTTTGCATTAAGGTTCGCAGGCGAAATAAACTGGAAACTGTTTTAGACGAATACTGGCAACCGGCGTTTGCCTCGGGGCTTTCTTTCAACGCGTAGCTCATCAGAACGGTCATGGGCCACCATGTAGCTATTCGCAGCTCGACCAACAAGTAGGTGATCAAAAGGAAGGGCAACATAATTAGGAGTAAGTGCGTCCATATGTCCGAACTTAGCTGCAGACTCTGCCTGGATGTATCCTGTAAACGCTTAGGTACTGGCGCAAGATCGTGAACGTTGTCAACATTGTCCCATGCTGCCACCAGCTACTCTGGCTACTCAACAGAATGACCGGTGTCCGAAAATGATTGATTGAACTGCAACACGCAAAACGCTAATGTAATTCACAATCGTCAAAGCCTGTGATCCCATAAACCAAATCGACTTATACGCCAACACGTTCAGATGCATGGCTACATTATGCACACATCAACTTGTCGATAACCGGCCGAGAAAAGCACCAGTTTTCTGCGATTTATCCTTACGATCGAACTCTGTTTCGGTAAGAGCAGCTTTCAAAAAAATGACAAGTGACAAGTGGGGTGACGGCCATTATTATGACCGACGAAGCAATCACAGCAGTCCGCGGTCATCCTACGTCATTAGCCATTATTTCCGAAGCGAAGACCGCGTATCTCTAGCCAGCAGCTCACGCAATGGGCAAAAATTACATTTGGAGAAATGACCAGCAGGCTCAGAATATTATTAAAAACACTTATCAAAAACACTCGTTCAACTAATCTAGTCTAACACGGGCCGCAGAACTATTTTATGGAAAACAGCAGGGATATCACAACAGAGCCGAACGGCAGCGAAGATTGAATTTCACATGTACCCCGTTTGTTGAGGCGAGAGATGCACATAAGCCTCGTGATGGCAAGACAGACGAAAAACCAAACGAGTGTATAAACTATTCGTCAGGTTATCACTATCACTTGTAGTTAGGGCACAAAACGCTGTCAGAGGACGAAATTTCATAAACATGCCGCTCATGCAATATCCGTAGTTCGATCGCCCTCTGGCGCTGCAACCCCCCCCCCCTCGTCGTTCAACTTCACGAAAGAACAAGGGACACGTCTGACAAAGACGATGCTTGAT